CAACATACTCATGTCATTCCCATCATTAGTTCAGCTGCTCCTTTTGTCATTCTAGCTCTCATAACACTGATTTTTTCCCTAGTCTTTCTAGTCATTTTAAATGCACCCCAACTTCTGATCCTGCTCACTGTACAGATTTAAACACTAACAACCAAGTGCTCTGAGCTTCCCCACCCAGGGCAATCTCTTGTGAAGTTCCTCACCCTTGTCTCCAGAGAAACAACACAAATAGTTTAAGGAAGTACTGAGACTTTGGGATTTGGATTCAGATAACAGTGGGTTCCAGACCCAGATTAACTGCTAATTCTTGAATATTTCAGCCTACGTGACTTAACTATGTATTTGATACGTGATAAGTACTAACTAATGTTAGCTATTTTTATTGTTGCCCTCCTGGAGGCAAGATTGCTTACCAGATTTTAAATTCAATATAAATGAGAAAATTGAGGTCTACATTTTCTTTGTTTTATCCCATATCTCTAGCCTGTGACAAAAATAGGTGCAGTGTAATTTTTAGAATTAATGATGTAACTTTGAAGAATTGTTAGCAAACATATTTTCAAGGATTACCAAGACACACTGTGACCAAGGAGATGTTGGACTCTTCAAGCCCAGCATAAAATAATTTTCTGTTGAAACAACGTTTGTACAGTTTTACAGTTTTTTCCCTTCTAGAAGCTGCCAGTATGAAGATTCAGATTTCAGATTCATATAATTAATAACAGTGAAAATGATATACCTTGAAACTCCTAATAAAAAGAGATTATTAATTTTTAAAGATTTTTTTCCTTATGATGGAGCAAACAGAAATAAGAAATCCTTACTTAGGTGAGAAATGCAGTACTGTGGCAACCTCTGTTGGGGCTGAGCCACACACTGTGGGGAAATCCCAGAGGAGGCTGCGAAACATGAGTGAGACAGCTTGAGCACAGCAGCTTGTTGGGTGGAAGATGTGCATCTAGTGAGGACGCAGAGTGAAGTAGCTCTGAGAAAACAGGCAGAATCAGACTATGAGAGAGTGTTGAAAGACGGGGTAGTTAGGATTTGATGCAATACAAGAAAAGCTGAAAGTAATTGAGGCTCTGGAGTGGCACTGCTTCCTGGTGACGCAGCGTGGAGGAGTGAGAGAAAAGTAAGTAAAAAGATTGCAATTAGAGATACTAAAGAGGAAGGAGAAAAGATTTGGCAAAGATTATTGTACATCAACATGAGAGAAATACGACGCTAATCCTATTTTAGAGACTCATAATTTGTTTTTGCTTTTGTTGTTTTGTTTGTTTATTTGTGTGTTTTGGTATCAAAAATCGAACTCAAGATCTCATGCTTGCTGGATAATTTGGGTAAATTACTAAACTCTCAATGATTGTACATACTGGTATAAAAAACCTGAGGGTGGCATTGCATCAGAAACACCTGCAGCACACTGATACTGAGACTATTTTGGATAGATGAGAGAAGAACTTATGATTTTTAATAGTCGTATATTTTCTTTTGTGAGCTACCCACCATCTTTCAAATTGTATTGGATATGAACTAGCTGAATGGAATATTTTTTAAAGAATCTTGGCTTTTGCTTCTGGTTTTGAAGAAATAACAGGCTCTAAAATTGTGATCCCATCATAAAAACCAGACAATTGGAGGCAAGATAATAGAAACCAGTTTCCAGACTTTGGCAATCAGGCCATGGAGAGAACTGTGTGACCTCTGGAAAGAGGAAAATATATAACATAAGGCTTGTGAAAAATAGGATTTCCTGTTTACCAGCAATTTCTCAGTAGTAGCAGATGCAGGTGACCCAAACTGAGTTTTGTGGTCCAGACAATTTAAGGACAGTGAGACTACAATTCAAGAAGGTGAAGATACCAAAGTTTGTGCATTAGAATACTTGAGAAAGGAGCAGGGCAGAGCAAGAGCCTCAGAAATTAGTAGAGTAATTATTTGGAGCCTCCAGTCAAATTACAATCTGCCCTTTGTAATGGTGAAATTCATAAAAGTGGACAAAGAAAAATTCAGATAGAATGTTGTCCAAGAACTATAAACAAACCAGGTCCTACAATGTAAAAAAAGTCATGCAGGGACTAATATGAGTACCCTCCAAGCCAGTGTAGAGGGGTCATTCTGAATGCTTGGGACATGCAGTAAAGACTTTAGTAAGCATATGGCTTCATAGTAAGACAATACTTCCTCAGAGCAGAGGTAACTAGAGCTGGCCTGAAAAGGATAAAGTGCTGTCTTCAAAACAATCAATTTTCCTGCAACTAAACGGACTGTTCAAACATTTGCAACCTTGCCTGGGTGGATAGCCTGGTGGACTAAGTGCCTGCCTGGCAACTGCAAGAACCCAGGATCAATCCCCAGTACTGCATGCCATGCCGACCCTGTCCCCAGCATACTGAGCCAATCACCAAAACTGGGTGCAGTGGCACATGCCTGTAATCCCAGCACTGGGGAGGCTGAGACAAGAGGATCACTATGAGTCTGAGCTGTGTAGTGAGACCCTGTACCAATCAAAACTAAAAAAATTCCAACCTTCTTTAAGGAATAAAGAAAAAGTTCAGCACTGAGCAAATAAAATTCAGCATCTGGCATCAAACAAACATTGTCAAACACGCACTATAGGGCCGATAACCGGGACACAGTCCTACGCAAGGCAGTCACTGTGGTCAATGATTCCATAAGCAGGACTGTGTTAAAACATGGTTGCAATAGTCAAAGATTTGAAGAAAAACATGAAAATGAGGGAAACAGATTTTTAAAAACCACTCAAGTGGGATTTCTAAAAATAATTAACATAATATTTAAACTAATAAATGTATCCAATATGATTGCATAACTACAAAAGAAAAACTCTAGATGTGAAATGATAGGAACATGAACTATTTTGAGTACACAAAGGAAAACAACTGAAAAGTACAACTTTAGAGGCTACTGTCCTTCCCAAGCAGTCTACAGAGAGATTTACCAAAACGAGGGTTCATCAAAACTATTTGAGGGAATAAGGGCCCCAGATTTTCCAAATTTGATGTAAAGTATAAATCCACAAAAACAAGAAGCCAATAATGTTGGAGCAGTGTATATATATGAAAACTGCACCAACTCTCAGCTAAATCAAACTTCAGAATATCTTCCACGTATGACTTAGATCTTAAGTATCACCCAGAAGTCTGTGTGTTAAGAGCTGGTCCTTGGCTGATGCTGCTACTGGAGGTGATGGCAACTTTAGGCGAGGCATGGAACACACTCCCTTGGGGATTACAGAACGCTGCCTTGCCTTGCCTTTTCCCACATGCCATGACGTGAGTCATTTTGTTCCACCACACATTCAACGCCATCATATTCGGTCTGATCGCAAGCCGAAAAGCAACGGAGCCAGTTGACTGTGGACTGAAACCCCTTCAATCAGAAGCCGCAAAAATTTTTTCCTCCTTTTGTGTTATTTCTCTCATGTATTTGGTCACAGAGGTGCAAATCTAACACCATGTATAAACAAAAGCTTCTTAACAAAGAAAAAGGCGCATTGAGTAAAAAGATGGGAAACCTAGACTTATGAAAAAATTTGTATTCCAGAAGATAATGAACATTATTTAAAATGTATTGAAGAAATAAAAATGCAACTATCTCAACCTAAAATTCTGTTCTCAGAAAAAAGTTTCCTTTAGAAATGAAGACAAAAGAAAGCTTTTCTCTATTTTTTTGGAGAAATAAACACTGAGTAAATCAAGCACTCAAAGATCTGTGAAACAAGTGCTCAAAGACGTGCATTAGGCCAAAAGAAAGTGAAATAAGGAAGCTTTCAACCAGAGACAAAATAATAATATGTTGTATATTATGATATAACATAAAACATTATAATACAATTAGAATATGTTACACCTAATATAGTATTATAGGGTTCTATAGCAGTACATACTATACTTTAGAATCAATATAAAATATATTTATTGTATTTATTATATAATTACTATACAATAACAATAGAAGTAATTTACTATTACTGAAAACTAACACAAATTTAGAGCGCTGGAACCATATATATTCATCATCTCGCTATTTCCATGGATCAACAGTCTAGACTGGGTAGCTATGTCCTTGTCTCATGGTCTCAGGGGCTGCCGTCAAGGCTTTTTTCATAACAGCAGACTTTATTGTGGAGGCTAGACTTCGACACTCAAGCAGGTTTTAGGCAGAATTCGTTTTCATACAGCTGTGTTTGAGAGCCTTGTTTTTCTCTGGTTAACAGCTGGAAGATTCTAAGAGCTACACACCATTCCTTGAAGTGTGGGCGTACTTAACACATATATTTATTTTATTAGGTCAACAAGGACAATTTGCTGTTCTAGTCTACTTAGGTGTATTTTTTCCATACTGAGCCTTGCACTGAGGGCCTTCATACTGGGCTGCATCTTTATCTTAAATTTTTTTTTTCTTTTAAATTTTTGACACATGGTCTTGCCAAGTCACTAAGTTGCCCAGGTTAAGCTTGAACTTAAGATCCTCAGGGGCTGGGGGTTCAATTCCCAGGCCTGCCATACTGGCCCCGCCCCAGGGGCATCCTGAGACAACAATTGAGACTGGATGTGATGGCGTGAGCCTGTAATCCCAGCTCTCTGTGAACAGGCAGATCATTACAAGTCCGATCTAGTAGTGAGACCCTGAACACTCTGTAGACCCTTCCCTAATATATATATATATATATATATATATATCCTCTTGCCTTAGCCTCCCAGAGTGATAGAATTATATGCATATGTTTGATACTATGTAATGAAGTATAATTAGGGAATGACATCCCATCACCTTTGGTATATAATATAACTTAAATAAGGCTGGGGTGTCTACCACTTTTGCTATTCTGTTGGCTGGAAGTAAGATTCAGACTGTATCATCACTGAAGGGCAGAAGACACCAGAAGCTCAAAATTATCTGGGGTTACCTTTAGGTGTGCTCACCTTTTATCATTATAAAATTCACTTGCTTAAATAAAGAAACTGCATTTAATTTTATAAACACTCTTTCATCAGTCTAACTAGGTCTGGGTAAATTTCCTGGCATGCATCCTGTCCCAGGTAAAAATCAATATGATTGTAGTATGGAATCATTTTGTAATAAAAAAGGTTGGCAACTTTAGGGAGCAAATTTTCCATGTCTCTAGGATCGGCCACAATATCCTGTCCACCACTCCATATTGCTGTTGGAACTTCCATCTTAGTAATGTTGTACAAAGGAGGTGTAACCTAAATATAATGAAAAGAAATTAGAAACCATTACATTAAGTTTAAGCAATTTTCTCAAATGATAAAAGTGTGTAATCAGCATAGACAAAAATACAGAATCATTAAAGTGTTAAAGCACTTGAAAATGTTTGAAATACAATAATAGGCATTTCAAATAAAAAAAGAAAAGAAGATGAATGAAGAAATTAATACCAGGGAATCAATTACCAATTTATTTTCTTTCTTTCTTTCTTTCTTTCTTTCTTTCTTTCTTTCTTTCTTTCTTTCTTTCTT